GCAGTCACGTCAAGGCACCGGAACGTGGCAGGAGTTGACGTCGAAGGGAGGGGCGGTGGAGGTTCTGCTTGAGTGGTGGGCTACATAGGCCTAGATTGACCGTAGAAGCAGTGACCGTGCTTCAGAAGACAGCGAGCATGTTTGCCAGGGCCTGGGTGATAACCACATGCTCGTCGAGGCCGGCAACTGCAGCTGGCTGCACGTAGGACACATCTCTCTAAAGTTGAGTGTAGGTGAAACTCGAGATCTTTTCGCTGCGTTTCTTGTGCAGGTCATGCCGGGGGCCTGCCGCTTCGGTCCATTGCGCCATCTTCCTGGACTGTGGGGTTGGGGTTCAGGAAGATGGGAGCTTAAGGGAAAAGTCAACGGTCTATAGTTATAAGAAGGGTCCAGGGATTTTAGAGCAGCAGCTGCTATGCATCTCTCTTCCCCTTTCCCCCTCCGCCGCTGTTGCTGTGTGCGCATGCCTGACATGGCATGATCTCCAACCTGGGTCCAGTGTAGGCACGATGGTCGTGGTGCCAGTACAGATGTCTGTGGGCAGTTCTCCAAAATACGGTCCCTCTCGGGGTCCTTTTTTACAAGGGTGTCGTACTATNNGGGGACCGAACAAGGGACCCTAATTTAGAAAACTACCCATGTGCAAGTGAATTCAGAGATTCCCGATATTCTGCTGCCCAGTGATTCCCAGGTCAAGGCTCACTCTACAGGATGTCGCCGGCTCGGGTCAGCCATGTCTCAGCTTGGCGAGCATATGCCAGCAGTGGACATGTTTAGTATCTGTGGCGGACAACCAGTCACCATGTATCCCAATAACTGGATCTCACCGTGGATCGGGTATCTGTAGCACGTAGCCAGAGAGCCAGCCCAATCTTGACAATGACAAGCTTTACCTCCAGTGGAAAGTTTGCCACTTCGATCCTTCAGGTCTGTGTACGTTCGAAACTTGGAGGTCGATGTCACCAGGCCAGCTTTCCTGCTTCGCCCTCTTCGTACTGGAAGCATGCACGCGTTTGCATCGGTTACGCCACTTCGGCTTGCTGGCAGACTTGCAACTCGCTCGTGCTGCTCGAGTTACATCACCCCACCTGCGGCCACCGCCACCACCACCGAAACGTAGCTTGTCGGTCATTGTTATTAATTCAATCTCCGTGAGGTTTGAATTCCCAAGCTGACCATGAGGGCACGAGAATTTCACGTGCGAGCTAAGCGACTAATTAAGTTCCTTAATCACTAACTTTCTGAAATTGGTGGGGTAATCTATGTGATGACTCACTGCTGCGATCATGTCGGCAGCTTCAAACGCTGGCCAGAATGCTCTCGTATATTATGCTGTATTAAGATTACGTTCATCCAGCCTGTTCTAAGTGACAATGTGCATCCTTCGCTTTTCGGCTGTGCAAAAGAGGCACATTTTTGCAAGCGACATCTGAGAAGCACGATAACTGGTCAAAGAACCCCGACCTGTATGCGGCATTGAGCTGAACGAGGCTGCCTGCGCGGCATCTCTTGTTTGCAAGCTCCAAGCCCTGACATCTCCAGTAAGCTCGGTGCAGGTTTAACGTGAAGCCGCCGGAGAGCTGCACGGCTGCACAAGGAGTCTCTAACCGAATGTGCTGACGACGTACGACGTTCATGAGGCAAGTTGGTGAATGTGAAGTGGCAGCCGGGACACCTTGCGCCAGGCACAGAGAAGCGGTCCAGTCGCCCGCATGGGTTGCGTGCGCTTTACACCATGTTGGCTGATGAGGGCTGTGATTTTTCTGGAGGCATGGCAACCAAGTTGACGGTCGAGGCAAGACGGAGAAATCCAGCCGGGATTGCCGTCGATCAGACAGCCAGGAGGGCATGTGAAAGATCACGCACACAACTCCGTTATGCAGCACTTTCCTGAGCATGCCTCGCTTCAGGATCATTCTTAAGGGGCCCCTCATCCTTCTCTCTGAAGGGATTTAGCGGCATTTAGAAATAGGCTGCCTCGCCGCGGGCAGGCATGTGTCGGGTCGGTTCAGCATCGTCCATACGGGACTAATCATGGGCTGCATGATGACAGCCTGATTAGCGTTGCAGCTTTCTTGGCAATGAAGGTATCAAATTCCACACACCATGTCAGAGCAGGGTTCTTGAAACCTCTTCGCTGATCCGGTCCTGAACCTTGTATCCTTAGAAGGCGAGCTCGAGGGGAAGTGTCTTCAACAAGCAAGCTCGTAAACATCCGTAAGCCTTCAACCGAACTCAATCCTAAGCTCCCAGTCCTCAACCATGATTAGACTAGGGTGTTGGGTGTACAGTGAGCATAACTACATACGGATTACATGGGTATGGGCTTATATGGAGAAAATATTGGGGCTGTACTTCCTGCCACAGGTTTTGGCCTTGGAACCTGCTCGGATTGAGCAGCTGTTGGAGGTTCATACAAAGGCCCGGCTTCCTGCAACTCAATTCGTTGGGTTTGAGCCATAAAGGGTTTAGGGTGGGACTTGAGAGGAAGTCTAGATTTCCACGGTTCAAGCTACGAGCCCCATACGATTGCGAGTGTTATAGGCTCTCCGCATCAGGCTGCTAATAGGTAGAGTCGCTGAGTTTCGTTTGCAAAGCTGTCGAACTTTGTCGAACTATGCTTTGCAGCCTTGGGTTGAGATTCCGAGGTGCGTGCGTATACGGTCATGGAGGCTGCATATCCACAGTACTGCCCACATGTGAAGCGCTGCCTCGCAGGCCCACATCGTCCGTGTGCCGATCACGGCTCGGATAGTGGGTGCCGAAGAGTGCCCGGGCATATGAAAGAAAGGTACATAGCCTGTCCAGCTGAGATATGGACATGATGTCATGCTTGGGCAACTTGATTACTCTATGATTAGTACAGATTGTGGATGTATGAGTTTGCCTACAGACTCTTTAAAAGGGACATGTTTTAGCATCTACTGTTCGTGCGGTTTGTGCTGACCCGAAGGTCGGTGCGCATAGAAAACACGACCGCACAACGAAGTCGCCAGTCAGCCCTGCCCGAGGCATTTAAGATAACTTAAAGGGGTGGGAGATGCTGTAGGGGAACAGACACTGTTGGTACTTGTGGACTTGATTCACTTGCACCGCCTTGCCAAACAAGGTACGACCGCTTGGATGCAGAGTCGCACTGGCCCAAGCATGACACATCATGGAGAGGGATGCCTCAGTGATAGGCACAAGCGCTGGAGTTGTTTCACAGAAGCTCAAGGCTCTGATTTGAAGCCCAAGCCCTGAGTCGAGCCTTCTCGAAGCTGCAAGCTGCACTGCACCGCCCTAAACTTTTAAACCCCATAAGGATGGCACTGCACGGCCGGCGGATTGGGCGTCACCGTGAGAAGTCGGAGACACACAAGCCCGAGACTTGTTTGTCTCAAAACAGACGGCCCCATGATCTCGCTCCCCTGCTTTCAGTTGGCCCTCTCAAAGTCTCACCCTTGCCCTTCAGACATGAGCAGATGCAATGGCTTCAAGTCTTCGTTTCAGCCTTTCAGCCCTCCGAAACCAGTCCTGAGTCCCCCTTACCATGCAGGCCAGGACCGGTGCAGCTCATCACGGAGCCAAGCTACTGCAAGAAGGCGAGGACGATTCCGACAAGGGTTCAGACGCAAGCCGTCGAGGTTCTTTGTTTCTTGAGCTTAGAGTCTCGTTTAGGTTAGAGCTTCAGGGTTTTGGGTAGATCCAGCCAATGGCGTTGACACAGTTTGAGGTGGGCATGATCGCAATGCTTGAATTCATGCTGTCATGTCCAAAACTAGCATCTGAATGTCGTTCTCGCAGGCGGAAATCAGTGAATCTTATATTTCTGTGATTTTGATTTTTGTAGTATTATTCTTATGGCATGTGGAGCCCAAACTGTTGTTGTTTTCCCCTCCATGTTTGTCTCCCTCCCCTTCTTTCTCGCTCCCGAGTTCAGGGGAATCGGGGCCAGAGACCCACCGCAAGGCCGCCAGGCTGCCCAGAACCACTACGAGCAGAAGAATCGAACCATAATAGTTGCAAAAGGGGCCTTGATAATTAGAGTATGGTTTTGGAGTATATCATATAAAGAGTTCCTACAGGAACCAGAAGGTATGAATGGAAGTTCTGAGTTTTAAAGCACCCCATATTAGAGCGCTCAGTAGGATGCTAAAGACCTCCTGAAGTTGTGTTGGGTTCTCCATTTTTTCCTGCCCTTAAACCTTGAGCTCGGAATCCTAAATCCTTATCGTACCCTCATCGCAATCCTCCTAGTATTCTTAACGTGGCATCCTAAACATAATTCTGAGTATAGTAACCCATAGAGCAGCCCCCAAAAAATCAAAAAGAAGTGCAGGTCATGGGCCCCACGTGGCAACCTCCCCCTGTGGAGTTCGATGACCTCCCGGCGACAGAGCTCTTGCGAGACTTGGCCGAGCTTCACTCGAGATTAAGACTCCTGGGATTCATCTCCTTTGGGGGTTCAGGGTTCAGGGTTTGCGGTGACAGGAGTGCGTGAGCTTCCGGCAAGGCGAGATGGAATCAGCACTAGTGCCTGCAAAACGGACAATGATGATATCATTGATCACCAGTCTCGGAGGTGCCATCAACTATCGCGATTGTCATTTTGACGGTGACGCAATCAGGATGACGACGACGATGGTGACGATGACAGTGACGATGACGCTCGCTGACATCATCCCACACGTGCCTGTCATTGGCAGTGCGGCGGTTGCCATAGCCGCCAGCGCCACCACCACCACCAATCGTTGCCTCACCAGCATCACCGTCATCTTCATCATCACCATCGTCATTACCATCGTCATCATCATTCCATCATCGTCATCAGCATCTTCACCATCGTAATGATCTTCATCCGCAGCACCAGCATCAACAGACATTGGCACCATAATTCTGGTCTTTAGTACTGTCGTAGGCAGCTAACGACTATCATCACCATCATCCTCATCGTCGGCGTCGGTATTGGCATTTTCATCAAAACGCTTACGCTGCGCGTGTTCCATCGCTGCAGTTGTCCTCACCACAAGCGTCGTCGTCGAGCATGTTCCATCGCTGCCATTGTCCTCATCACTATCTTCATGGTCATTCTTGAGAATCTCGCAGTTACCGTTACTGTACCATCATCACCGCAACGTCGTACCAACGCAGTTATCGTCATCATTGAGACCATCATTGCCATCATCACCACCACCAGCATCACCACCACAGTCGTCATCATCCCATCATCATGTCGAGCATCATCGACGCCACCACCCCAGCCATGATCATCTTGATCATGCCCATCACCAGGACGACGCCATCATGTTCAGTACCATCACCATATCATCGTCGGGCTCGTATTCTGCACCCTCGGTATCAAACGCTACATACTTGTGTGACTTAATCAATCCGCTGAGGGAAGCAAGACTGGACTGTAGAGATACTGAAAAGCGTAATGACGGGAGCCACAACACTGAAATGTCGGGAACTCTATCAGCAGATGGCGCTGCGTTTGGCATTGTTCTGCATTTACAAATCCATCTGCCAGCAGAGGTTGAGTTGGAGGCGCCAACAGAGGAGGCGGGCAGTTGAGGATCCACGTGGCAGTCGTAGAAGCAGCACGAGTTCGCATCGGGCAGCCCATGGAAGACTTTTGAAACGAACGAACATATGCCCCAAAACCATGTTCTAAGTTATTAACGACTCTGTATTGAGACTTTATACAGACTTACATATACATATACAGCGCAACATATTCCAATTTTTCAGGACTCCATATTAAGACCCAAGGCTTGGCGATTATCGAATTCGCTCTGGCTCGGTCACAGGAGCCGTTTCACATAGCACCGTCTCACGCAGACAACTGAGGCACGCCAGGATCTTCGAAAAGACTGCAACTTGCAGAATTTGCGGCTGTTCGGTTGCAGTGTGCCGATGGCAATGTATATGTATCCGCACTATACTGCTATTGTAGAATGGTAAGTGATTGTTGAAGATGATGAGCGTGACTACGATTTCAGGTATGTTATGCTTGAGTTATGAAGGCTGTCATTCCGAGTGATATGCTGATTGCCATGGTAGCCACTACCGCTATCACTGCTTGGTCATGTACAACCATGAGCATGACTGTGTTTCTACTCTTGCGACTGGTGTGCTTGTCTCCTGGTTGCTCTTGTTCCATGTCCCTGTTCACTTGCAGGAATGCCATGTACGACCTGCGTTCCGAACTGATTGTCAGCCCAGCTTTGAACAGGCCTGACCAAGGGCTACGCTTCAACGGCTTGCACATCAGCTCAGATCAGATGCCCAGTTTCCTTGCGCTCGCTCAGGCGTCGCTGGGGACAGGAAGTCGATCAGGAAGTGGAGACCGAAAACTCCTGAAGCGCGGTGCGAAAAATAAGAAGGCTGCAAGCGCACATCTGGACACCACATATGGCCGCACTTGATCCGGTGTGCATCAGTGCCGGGTAAGGCATTTCAGAGTCTGGAGACTTGCGAGCACAAGATCTACTGCTGAAGGTCTTGGTCCCGGGATCAAACGGATCAAGTCATCATAACTGGGCTGGAAGTTGGTAAGTGTTTTTGACTGCCTGGTGAGAATTTGCTGGAATTCTGGATGTTGAGTGAAGGCTTAGGGGGCTTGGGGTGTGCTATGCTAAAACTACAACGAGAGTGTTTCCGTGTTGTTTGTGCCAGCTCCTGTGGGATTCTTTCCTTGGCTCCACAAGGCGGCTTGTGCTCTGCGAGTGTAGTTAAAGAGGGTCGAAAACAACCCTCCATCCGTAGCAGCATCCTTGACCGCCATGCTGCCGGAAGCCCTTTGCGTGGACAGCAGGTAGGCTGGCCGCAATTTGCAAGGTTGAAAGAACACCTGAGGGCCTCGCAACCTCAGGTTACTGGTAACCTTGCTGCTTGTGATGATCGTCCACTGGCGAGTGAATCCGACAATCAATTCGGACATGAAATTCATCGCGCAGTGGCCACGCAGCTGGATTAGGAAGGTCCCTAGAGTAAGCCTTAGAGCCTTAGAGTGCTGTAACTAGAAAGACTACTGAGACAACTCAGGCAAGCAGAACTTGCAGGTATGTGTCAAACAAACCAGTGAGCATTGGTCAGACTTGAATAGATATGCCTCCTTTCCCAAAGCGCATGCTTTCATTGTTGCAAAGCACAGCGATCTTGCAGACAATGCCATTCACTTCGGGGTGGTTGAGATAGACTGCTAGACCTGTGCTTTGTGCTTGCTAAGCCGGTCCTGCTGGAAAGCAAGAATCGCGCAATCCGGGCTCTACAGCGTTAGCCTCTTGAGTTCTGAACCATATATAGCCGCAAGCAATGCATCTGCCCTTTGAACCAGACAGCGCGTAAGACATCGATCTCGAGATTCCGACTTGTCAAAGGCTTACGCATTCTCTGCATACATCGAAAACAAGTATCAAAGATGTTCTGAGGACCGCCAGAATTGTGCGAGACCGTCGTAGACGTCTGTGCATAACAGCTAGCAATATCAGCAAGCATTTTTCAAGTGAGAGCTTCGGGAATTGCCAGAAAGCTGGATGTCTTGGATCCACAACCATCATCTGAAATTTCAAGAAGACTCTTCATTGGAGTTTCCTCGACACTTCAAGCAGTCCAACAAATCAGAGAGGTATCTTTACCAGTATGCAGGTTGGGTATTATTTCCCAAGTATTGCATGTTTGTTATTCTCTAAAGGTGTGGGTCCTTAGATCACACCCATCAACAGATACTCGAAGTTTAAATACACTAGCTGATAGGTTTGTTTGACAAATCCCTCCTACTCAGTTGCTTGTCCTGCTATCCGTCCTGTTTTTTCCGCGAAAAACCGCTCTATGTGATCCTCTTCGTACAACTAAAAGACTAGCGTAGTTCTGATAGGGCCGGGCGTGTTGGATACTGTAGTGATCAAGTCGGTCCACGACTATGAGATTTTGGCAATCGCTCTCATCTCAAGACAACACCATCAAGCCCCTCTTCGTCATGATGCTAGAGTGTATGCACTAGTCTGTCTTCCATCCTCTGTGATCTGGCCACTGATCATCGGAAGTACGCCATGTAATTGATGGAAGGCCTCGGGTGAAAAGTTGTTGAGGGTTGTAGGGCTTGCTTGTTTTTTTGGAGTTTAGGTGGATCTATTCCTGGTTTTCAGGAAGGATAGGAGCTGTGCAGGAAAGATGCACCTGCAGAAATCGTGGATGTGTGGAATTGAGTGAACGAAGTCTGGGGAGTTGACATTATGCAATTGCCGAATACTGGGTTGGAATGGAATTACGGAATTCCGGGTTGTGGTGTTCGCTTTCAGGGCCTCGCTAGCAGGTGTCTGGCGAGGCAGTGATTTGCAACACGAAGCCTTGGTTTGTCGACATGGATTCCTCTAAGCTTGTTTTTGGATTATAAGTTTGTGGGAGTGTATGGTTACGTCCTCACTCTCACAATCATAGTCGCACAGCTACACAGATGCACATGCATTATATGCACTAATAACGCTTGCTACCCTGCTTGATTGCTTGGTTGTAGCTGTGTTGTGCATGCCTGTGTGTGGTTGCTTGTCTACTTGTGTCTACTTGCTTGTTTGTTTGCCTATGTGTTTCTCTCCCTCCCTCTCTCGCTCTTTGTCTTTTGTGTGTGTGTGTGCGCGTCTGTGTGTGTGTGTGCGCTTAAAACCCGTCATCTAGGAGTGATGTAGAACTGAACATGCCTCCAAGGCTCCAGCAAGCCTTCGCTCCAACTCGGACGGACAAGGCCAACGAGGAGTGCAGCATCACCCTGGCATAGATTATGCGTAAACGCAATGAGGATGATAACGATGCGAGGAGGTGGGCGCACACGAAGACTGAACCTCAGAATGGTAGCGACAACACTTCCAGGTTGAGTGTGTGCTGGCTGAGGGGACAGAGCCGAGCTCGGCTGATTGAAAACCAATTAAATCGGACTCTGCACGAGAATGAAACCCTCTTGCCAGCACAGAATCATTGTCAGGACAACTCGCGGAATGCTCGTGTCAGCGAGTCAATGCGAGAGGCCGATCGGCTGCACCTTCTCGTCTCACTGGAAGCTGTGATAGCTCGTACCGCATGTGCCCGAGGTCCTTGCCAGCTTACCGCTGTATCCGAGGTGCGTGTGAAAACCTACGTGACGTCATCGAGAATATTTGTTCATACAATGGTGCCAATCCTGCTCTTCATCTTGTCCGACCTGCTGAGAAACCCTAGTTCGACGGGCTGGGCCCAAATGGGATTCCTGCTACTTGCGACGTGTCTTAATTTTTCTACATGTGCACAGCATGTCGCAGTGATGTTCACCGCTTCGGATTTTCCTGTGTCGCTGTCATGCCAGCGAGGGCTACTCCATGCACTGGTCAGTCGCCAGCGGCGCCCTTTGCCCGATGCCCCATCAGATGAGAGGGGTGTGCGCTGGCTGGTACGCGCTGCTGCTTGACCTAACCAGCCCAAATCAATCACTTTAGTCACTCGGAAAACACTGGAGCTACAAGCAACAGGGCATTGAGGCAAAATTGAGCTGCCTGGCAGACCCGCGTTTCTTCCTGGCAGATAGATCAAGGTTGTGATTGGAGCACTGTGCTGAAACAAGGATGGTGGCATTCGCGCTGCTTGCTCCTTGCCACCCAGGAAGAGATGCTCTTTTCTTTCTAGGCCGGACCTTCATGCAATGCCGCATGGGTGCAGGGAACCCCAGAGTTTTGCTCGAGAGGCTTCAAGATCGGCAGTAGATTGACGATGACAGCCGTATTCCTGGACAGCAAGCGGCTTGTCTTACCTGCCAGTCGCAGTGACCGCGGGAAGTCCGGTTCCTCTTTTAGCTGCAGCTGCCAGAAGCCACTCCACTGAAATGTCAGCGTTTGCGCTGAGTCTCCGACATGAAATTGAAGCAGTACACCTTATGCAGCAAATGCTGCTGGTGTGTCACCTCGCATTCCTAGGAATCCATCCTCACTAGAAGTTGACTTCCAGGACACATCATAAACGGATTCTTCACCATCTCCTTCAATATTTGGCCGCGTGATCGGCACAGTGAGCATCGCATCAGCACCATCATCAGCAACATAACAGCAGCGCTATCATAATTAGCAAGGTTTACATTTAAATTTAACAGCAGCACCACCATCAGAGTTACCAGTGTCAACATCACCACCGTCATCATCAAGAGACATAGCAAGCTATCTTTAGACAACTACTACAGTACAATAGCCTGCGCCGAGGATGTCCTTCGTCTTCCAAGCTCTGCCGCTCGGCTGCCAGGTAGTTCCTGCAGAGTTCTCAGTAATGCTGCTGCTGCTGCTGCTGCTGCTGCTGCTGCTGCTGCTGCAGGCGCCGGCGCTAGCTCTATGCTGGCACTGGCGGTGGTTTGTTTGTACCGCAGTCAAGGAAGTCCGGATGGATGTGCGACAGGAACTAGGCCAGCGATAGCGTCGCTGGTTGCATGTAGCAACGCGCAGCTACTGACGTACCAGGCTCGGCAGCACCACTAGCATCAGAGCACATACCGACATTCATTCACTCATGAGGAAAGAGCAAGATCGGAGTCAATATCAAAAGCGAAACACAGTTTCTTGGGTCCAATCTTGCCAAGACGTAGGCCTCAGGGTAAACGAAAGCCCGAGCGGTAAGCTGCTGGCACTGTTCAGGCGTAAGCCGAGTGAGAGAGCGTGCCACGTACCCAATCAGCACCACACGATCGCCTGATGACCACGGCAGGGGGTGGCGGCAGTGGTTTTTGGTGTTGTTGTTGTTCAGTCTCGCTCTTACAGATCACCGTGTCTCTGGTGCTGTCACATGGATGATCGTCTGCAAGGATTTCTGTGGCTTCTCTGGTTTCGGACCTGGTCATTCACAACACTGGCCAAGAAGCCTTCATGCTGTTGGCCATGGAGGTTCAGCACTTCGTGACTCTGGCCAAATTGGCTCCCGATAGATCTGATGGCATGGCGCGCTGCCTGCGGTCACCTGTTCTGTTGACCAATTTTTTTTTTCTCCGTGTTGTGTTTCAGAGACCTTCTTTCCAAACTGCTGCGCGGCTTAGGTCGGGGCCATGACGCTGTCTGCAACCCTGGAGTTTCTTATCCGTTCCCGCATACACGCACTACTGGACGTTGCAGATGCCGAGACTCTTGTTTCCAGTTTCCAGCATGTCCTTCGCGGGATCTGCGATGGAGATATCCTGCTGACCAGCAATATGACGACGCTTTTCTTCAAGAAGCGACCCAAGCGTTCTTCCTGATTTTGGGTATGCATTTGTGACGCAGGCTTTTTGCATCATGAACTGCAGGCAACCTTGAGTTGTGGATGGACGAGTTGTAGGGGGGTGTTATCATTTCGAGACAGTTCTCCCGTGAATCTCGGCAAATTGCGGAAGCAGACACCCCCAAGCAAAAAGACTGTGCTTGATTGGGCTAGCATTCTGATACCTGAGCCTGGCTGCAACAAGGATTCACGGCCCTGGCGAGTGCCTCCAACACCTGCTGATGAACAGAGCCTTGTCGAATTGTATCAAAGCAGCGTTGCTTGGGCAATAGTGATTTCTGCAGTGCCTGCTGGGATGACAAGGGCACTTAGCAAGCCAGATCTGCACCGCATTGGCCTGGGCAACTTCACACGAGTCCGCACTCGAGCATGGAAACTACTGAGTAAGTACGTCCAACACGACGAGGAAGACCAGCTTAGCTCCCAACAAGACTTAGATGCAACGGAGAGGGAGACGCCTACGCCCAGGGCCCTCGTAGTTCTCAAACAGTGCTGGTGGCCAGGAGCGAATCTCGATGGCAAAGCTTTTGAGATGCTGCCACCCGGCCATGAAGCTGCTTGCGGATTCAGCCCTGGAGGGCGGGCATGCATTCCGGCTCAGTGCTTTCAATCTCCAGCTTGTTACATCTGCGAGTCTGCAACAGTAGACTTGTTGGTTTCATTTTTCCACTGGCATGTTGTTTTGATAGAGTACATACCACATGTTTGAAGCGAATCGGTTTGGAAGCACATGATTCAGGTTGCCACCGGATGAGCGACAGCGCTTCGCCGACTTCATCAACACGTCCACCAAATGTGCCCTGGAGCCGGCACATGGTGCTCGAATGACTCCGCCCACTTGCCTTAGGGTTTCTTTGTGTGGTGCTTCTAACACGCGCGTGCCAGCGGACATCTTTCACGTCCCGGTGCCACATCTCTTTGGTGCTGACCATCCATACCACCTGCTGGCAATAAGTGTGGACTCCGAGTCCCGAAATCCGCCTGCCCTTACACAGGACATCCCAGACATGGCTAAGATTCTAGAACGATCAGAGAGGCAACGGTCCAGAACGGCGACTTCTTCTGGAACTTCCACTGCAAGCTCTGTCTGGGAGCCACTACCAGAGCTAGCCGGGATGATGTTGCTGGTGGACGGCTCCAGCCCTTTTCTGGACATCGAGCAAGCCCATCTCAGCTTCGAGCGGCGGGTTGGCGATGATGAACGGGAGTCGAGTAAGATGCCCAGTCTCCGGAAAGTTTGTCGGCGCACAGACTGGGAGTCCATCAGGAACAAGATCGACAGATTCGTTTCCGGTGAGGGTGCTGCTCAAGAATTGAGGAGCATCTGCCTGAGAATGCCAGATGACCGCCGAAGATTTCTCAAGGCCAAATGTGTGCAAATGTCGGCATTCGAATCACGCCATGAAGAGGACTCGCAGGATCAGAGCATCACCGTGCCGATGAAGATTTGCCTCCAGCTCAGCCATTTCGTTCAAGACGAATCCCGGCTACGGAAGCAATCTGAACTTGCCGGCATCCGAGAGTTGCATGGGAGGCGGCCAGCCTCCGTGGTGTGATCCGAAAGCTTTAGCCCCCTGGACTTGCAATCAAGAAGCGACGAGGCAGTCATTGACCCGTCTGGGGTTTCGACCAGGAAATATATTCTGGCTGTGCTGAGATCAATCTGTAGCACAACATGGCAGCCGACAGGTGTCACTGGGCAGTGACAAGCTGCAATGCTTGAATGTGACACTTATCATGATTTCCACTTTCCCATCGAACGGTGCACGCTTTCCAGGCTGTGCTACCGAACAATGGGTACAATGCGTAGATGGGTTTTCACAAGGAAAGAAAAACCATTTCATATTTTTTCATTTGATTTTTTTATCGAATTGAGAACGAGTATTATTTCGGTTTTTAATATTATACATATACATTATATATATATATATATTTAAGTTTATTTATTTTCTATTATTACTAAAGATAAATGTAGGTTATGATTTAGATATGGAGAAGATCGAATTAATGAATAAAATATAAGAAAGACTATTGATTTCGATATATTTATATATATGATAAAAAAATAAATATAGAATATTTTAATATTCATTATTCTCGCGTAATGATAAAATATATTCATAACGATCTATATATTTGATGTTTTATTTTATTGGATCTTCTGAGTTTTGAGATTTATTGAATAAAGGGTTCGATGTAAATTAATAATAGAATGATTTTACTTATAAATAAAATTAAAATTATCTTAAAATATATTGATAAGGATTATTTATACGAATATTGTTTTAATATTGATTAAATTTGATGGGATAAATGAAATTTCTATTTTTGTAAAATTTGATCGTAATTTTTAGATGATATTTTTTTAATTTGAATGAATTTTAAATTTTTTTTGAATTGAATCGTAAATTGTATTATTTTTTATTTTGATTTTATGAAAATTAGATATTTATTTAAATATAGGATAATAAGACTATAATTATAGTTTTAAACCGTTTGATTTTTCATCGGAATTTTACGAATGAAATTATAAACGCTTTAGATTATTGGTCGGGGATAGAAATTTATATTGAAAAGGCGCCCCTAACATGCTTGAATATCGGAAGTCGAACATTTGAATATCGTTATATTTGTGCGTTTGCTTGATGAATCTGAGGATCGCCGGGAATTTAGAATATCTGATTTTAAACGGCGATTTCTCATACGAGGCAGGAGTCAACACGAGCAGACAATACTTCTCTGACGAATTTAAAAAATAAATAGATATTAAGCTCCAAGATTAATCATATATTTATATCTCGATATTACAAAATTCGAAATTCGCCAGTCGCGATATAAATTAGATTCGGAATCCCAAAGATATTTTTATTTATTCTTGGCTACGATTTATTCTTTAACAATAAGTATCATCAAAAATATTAAATCTTAAATCTATAATGCCCAACATCTCAATCGTAATTATACGGATATCGTATATATTTCTCATCCTTCAAATCTCTTATATCATCTCCGAACAACGAATTCTTTTCTTACGCTAAGTTTTTAATCATATCTTTTAATTATATGCAGAATTATATATATTAGAAATTAAAAGAAAAATAATCAATATCATTATCTTCATACCTATTCAATCGTATTAATTCAAATTTTTATCTTTTTTCTTTAAAATTCGAGATATTCTTCACTCCAGGACATTCACCTCTTTATCAAGCCCGTCGCTCCACGCCGACCACGCACACGCGACACTCCCCACGACCCTCGCCCGCGACACACACGCCCTCGCCCGTAAGTTGCGTTTCCACATTGCGGTCTGTAGCTACGATGTCTGGTGGGTCCACGTAACTATACGACAGACACAAAAAGTCCTCAAGGTACTTTCCCATGCTAGAGTATACTGCAAGCGGCGATACCGCAGACTCGGCATAAACACAAGCCATGTATATTGAACGCCGATGAAGGCCGATAATATCCAATGTATTATGGAACGACGTAACGAAGTGAAGGCTAGAATACAGAACAATGTCGGAAACACTGAATTTACCGGGAATTTGTTGCGATACCATACTATTACCGGGAGTCCCGGAGTTTCGTACAGCACGAGACCCCGAAATGCCGGAGTTTTGAGGGTTCGTACTCTGCAGCGCGTCTAATACGAAACCCTCAATATCCCGAGAATTTCTGGGTTTCGTACCAAAGATTCGCCTTCAATTTAAAGACAGACAGCCGCAAGCCTGCCAGCGGTCCCAAAATCCCAGGATTTTCGTGGTTTCGTACCGGCAACCGTCTTACGCCAAAAACCAGAGGATTTAGCAGAGCAAATAGTGTCCATTATTGAAAATATAATGCGACGACATCAATGTAAACTTTAGAAGAAACAAGAACCCGATTATTATAGACCTAATAGATAAGAATAACAAAATGTGTTGACAAGTATATTCCAAAAATAAGAGTATTCGAGAGATTAAATATTCTTTGTATATGTGCAGTATTGGCCATCTTTTGAGTCAATGCAGCTTCTCAATTTCGGTGCAGAACTCGGAAAAGATGTCGTCCATCCTCGGGCAGATCTATCAAGAACCAGAGGACACGATTCAGGACGAGAGCGACGCGGATAAGAATCGTCATATATGTTGTATGCTTGAGGCCTTGTCTTTTCACATCTGGGGTTGACGACTCAACACCGAAGCTGGTCAATTGAGCTCTCCACGCATCGTGAGTGACCTTCCCAGCTGCTTGGGACACCCACCGAACCCAGCATGCCAGATCAACATCTGCATGAAGGGTTGACGAACAACATCTAGCCCGCAAATTACTGTGGACTGCCACCAGTAGAATGCGCGGCAGGCCTGTATCATGACCAAGGTCGGACTAAGGGAAACTACAATGCATCATCATCTTCTTTTTCTCCCCCTTCAAAACGCAGGCATCACGCGGGCTCGGTTGGTGCAAGCCAGGTCGTCCAGTTTTGCTAGGGCAGCTTCAAACTGCCGGTTCAACTTGCTCAGATCCGCACCTCCCCTCGATGCCTCAGCTTCAAACTACCATGAAGCTTGAAACTGAAGCAACTGAACAGCATCCGACCTTCAAAGTAGTAAAAGAAGGTTCCTCTTCGCGATCTCGCAGACATTCACGTGAGCAACATTGACAACCTTCGGCCCTTCAAGGACACTTCCTAAATCCTAAACTCCGACATAAACCCTGGCCATCCCTCGGCCACAGTAGAGGCACGCCGGTCGAAGGAGCAGCCCCACTGGACTCCTTCCTCTGGGCTAGGGGCAGGGGTTTGCTTTTCAAACTTCTGGCCTCTTCCACGACAGACTTGACGCACAAAATAATTTGGAACATATTAAATATGGTACTGTTCGAGATGTTTCTCGTCGTCAAAGGTGAAGGCAAACTGACTACTCTCTCTTCATCCCAAACTAGCAGCACACTCGCTGCACCATGGAAGTGAAAGCGATCAGAGAAGCCTCGAACACTGCTGCGAAAAACGTGATAACTAAGCACAAACACGCCTTCCCTGCAAAAGACTCGCCGCGAATGCTGAATGATTGAATGCCGTGTATGTGTGAGGCGGTCCCGGTAGCATCCTTCCGAGGCTCCTGCGCAAAGTCTGCACGTTTGCATGTATAGCAAACATCGTGCAACGAGCGGCCCAGATCGCCACATCTTGCTATCGTAGACCACAGGACGATGCTGCTGGAGTTGTGTTGCACATGCATCACAACATGATGCAGGCCTTGTCGTCGGCTTTTTCCGGAGCGAGCCGTGAAGCCTTGGACTTTGCCTTGGCCTTGGCCTGCATGGTGAACTGGTGGCAAGGCCCTTTCTTACGGTCTGTCGGCACTGGCACTGATGACTTCTACTGCAACTCCAGCCTTTGCATCTGCTTTCGTGGAGCTGACACTTGAAAGCAGGTTCTCCTTCTCCTCAGGCGCTTTGCTTTTCCCCTTCCCCTTTGGCTCCGTTGGCTCCTTCCCGACTGGCGATGTTTGGCACCTGGAGTTACTGAGAGTGCGCAGGAACCGCAAGCCAGGGACAGAAGGTCAAAACTGCAGTCGAGACACACATTGCCGGCTTGGTCGGTGTCAAGGCTGTATCCTGAGCTCAAGCAACATTTCTTGCAATAACCGTCCATGTCGTAAGCCCATCAACAGAAACATGCTTCCTCGTTTTTTTCCAAGACGCTGTCAAGCGAAGCCAGCAAGCCCTTTCACATGGCAGGCAACTATGCGAAGGCATGGAGCCCTGTTGCAGTTGCTGGTACGGGTGCAACTGTCGTGTTGCTTTCCGGGTGCCTGAGCGCTGTTCTCAGGCGCACTTTTCTGGAGGACTCTGCGGCGGACGGTCGCTGGCGAAGCCTGCGGCAGGAATGTGGACGGCTAGAGTCTAGCAGCTCTTAATTGTTGTGAGTCTAGATAATTCGCAGGCATTCAACAGAATCATCTTGGTCCGTGGGGATCGGGCATGAAACCTTTCACTTCGATTCCACGGCCCTCTTCAAGGGCCTCAGCCTGCGAGCTTGCACCGCGCTTCCCCATAGCTCGACTCGCTGCCCGCACTCGCACCGTCTGGTCTCCCATGTCAAATTCAGATGTCAGCTGAGTCCGGTCCCTGCGAGTTAGTTTTGATATTAATTAGACACCTTCCACAAGGGCGGCTGTGCCTTAGCATGAAATGTAAAGTCGCTGAGAAGTCTTCCATTCGTAATGGCTTAGAATGGCTCGAGCCGCACGGCTGCTTAATCGCGCCAGCATTTCCACCACATGCGGCGTTTATGTAGTGCACCTTTGCGGATGCTCCATCAACAGCATCGCGCTTAGAGGTCAGATGTTGCAAAATCCTCCTTAGCTTGCCAGATCCGTGTGGGCATCCCGCGGAGTTCTTCAGAAGACCCAACAATAACACGAAGATCACGCCGAGAACTCGTAACACTTCAGAGTACCAGGTACGTTGAGGGCTGATATAGAACTTAGGTTCTCCTGCAAGCCCCAGTACCATTGCAAAGTCCAAGCATCTGCAGAACAAACCCTGCAGCCCGAAAATCCGCGCCAGCACCCAACCCCAAAGCCCCAGAGTCAAAAACATCACGGGCAACCTAACATTTGTCATGGTCATGCATACTACGACATCCTTATGATCTGATTTTGGCTACTCTTAAGGCTACTCACTTCTCCTCCAGACTAGCTTGAAGTCACCACCCGGTCGGCCTCGGGCGCTGGTGCAGCGTCCACATGGGATGCACCATCCTCCCCAGAGAAACCAATATCCCGTAGTTGAGGAGTGTATCTTAAGTTCTAGAGTCCTCAATATACCAGGTTTAAGGTACATTCCTTAATCAAGGGGGATAAAAGGACTCTACATTTCAAGGTATATTCCCTAATGCAGGTGATATTAAGGACTCTACTTTCTTCCTTGATTAAGGGGTATTCGGGATCTCTGGGTCTTGGGTTTAGGATTTTGGAGGAGGCTCTGATGCTCGAGGGCCCCCTTGGGCTTCAGGAGTGATGCCGAGTCTGGAGCTCTTTGGCATTGAGGTTTCAGGGCTTTCGGGTCTTGAGAGGGCTTCAGCTTACTATAAGGCTCTTCTTCTTCTGAGTCCTGGTTGCAGGTTGCTTTCCAGATACGCAGTCTGAAGACCCGACTCCTGATCTGTTGAATTATGCTTCATCGTGTGCGTGCGACGCTCGCACCGGCACCCTCACCACAATCCGAAGTCGTAGGTTTTGCAAGCTGCACCCAGGCCTCTGCTGCGGGTTGTGGATCCGCCTCGTGCATGCTTGCCACCTACATGAATAGAGAGGACTCAGATCATAGCGGGAGCATGATGTACCAGGAGCCACATGGGCTGGGAAGTGCAACGGCAAGGAATCTTCAATGAACAAATTGAATGCAGAGTATCTCTTGGCCCCGGACCTCCTCCGGCTCACCACCGGATCCCACATTCATGCACTCGGTGGACGTAGCGGCACCTCTGGCCTCCTGGGAGCAAAGCTGCAAGGAGAGATGCGCTGCAGCTGTCCACCTCCATGTGGCATGGTATCGTGCAGAATCCAGGCTTGGTCAGAAAAAGATGCTGCTTTGAGCTGAGAGAATACACGCCTCTACATTTTCGTCACTACGTGTCAGCGCCAAGGCCTCTTCTGAGTCATCCTCTTCCTCTTCTTCGTCCTCTTCGGACACTTCCTGGCCCTGCGTCGAACTCAGGCGCAGCCGCTGAATTAGGTGCTGTGGGACGGCCTCGCCATCCCCGGGCTGCGCAAAGATGTCGTCGACCTCCTGTGGCACAGCGATCATACTAAAGTTACTAAAGAGGGTAGCCGAGGAACGGGGCTGCCGAATCCAGCATCACAGAGCTCACCGCATGGAATGCTAGGGGTTGTGTGGGACTGCTGCACCTGCTCAGGGCTTTATGAGACCTAAGTTCCACACACTCGCGTTGCGACTGTCTTTGCGTTGCGACTATTGGAAACTCACGCGCACTTAACACTGTCTCCTGGACGACCCTTGCCTTTGGGTTCTTGCGCCTCCGCTTGGCTGGGCGGGGGATGACCTGTCAGCCAAATCTGCGAGATGAGAGCTGTTGCCTTCTGAGACACTTAGGTGCCTGGGAGGCCAGCAGCCGGAGGCTCAGAAGTGCTCTGACACATCAGCACCTTTTTGCGTCTTCTCGCAGGCCGCGGAGCTTGCCCCCGGGATACCATAAAGCGCCGAAGATCCGCGCTTAAATTCCCACTAAGAATGCGGCATAAGGCCAAAATTGTCAGGCTAGGAACCATATCAAAATGTAGGTCCGAGGGTGTCGTCGGCCACAAAGTGAAGCTTTCGAGCAAACACCGTACAACACAGCAGACCCGGCCAGCAATCAGCTACCAGTCGACCGGTTGGAAGTTTCTCAGCAAGCAGCCGGTGACTGGCTGCTGGCCATTCCTCCGCCAATTGTGAACTCTGAAGTGTTTCATTCCATCCCAGAAACTGCTGTGACCAAAGCACTAATTGCAACACAGCATTTCTCTCTGCAGTATGAACACATACATGCATACATGCATAC